AGAGACCCACCGGCCTCTGCCTCCAAAGTGCTGGGACTAAAGTCATGCACCACCATTCCTGGCCCTGAGTTACTGATTTTATTTTTTAAGACTTGAACTGCAGTGATAGAAAGATGAAAGAACTTTAATCCATCCTAGAGGTAAGTAGATAAGGCAAGGTGAAAAGGACTCTGCGGTGGAAATAATACAAAACCCCGTGTGCCCATCTGAGCCTTTGACATTCATCTGATAGGCAACAATAACCCTAGACATTAACAATTTTTGCACATAGGTTTTACAACTGGCAAAAATTATTGGCACTCTCTGTGTCTCTTTCTAGTCTGTTCCCATGATTTTCCTCTGGGTTCCTTGGATTCTCCTGCAAGAGAATAAGAGCTGGATGCATACACACAGGTACACACTTCTGATTCTCTTCACTTGAGCAGGGTCCCACAAATGGCAGGTTTCCTGTAGTCTACAGATGGGCTTGTCTTGCTCAGCGACCACCAGGCCTGTGATCCTGAAGTACTGTCCCTTAACAAAAGCACAGCACCTCAAATTTTGTGTCTAAGTGGCCACTCTGGTTGTGTGATTGATGCCCACAAAACCTCCAGTCTCAACAAATGTCCTGTAACTCTAATAATCACAGGATTTTTGAAATGCCACAAGTGGGTAGATGCCTTTTGAAATCCTGTCTCCTCACTATTTGAACAATCTTATCATTCTGAATAAGAAAAAAAAAAGCATGCTAGACTAGTTTCAGTGAATCAGTGTGTCGTAATTTAAAGGTCACGGACTTTGGAGTCACACAGACATGATGCTAAATTTCTACTGTGCTTGTCACTATCTATGTCATACAAGGCATTTACTCTCTATTTCTCAGTTTAGGTTTCCTCCCCTTTAAAGTGGGGCCAAAAGCTCCTTTTAATAAATTACGTCAAATTTGCAAGTTGTTTGAAATGTAATTTTTCTGATGTGGAAAGTCAAACTAGATGTCAAGTTCTTGATCAATGTGGGTGCTTAGTAAATTTTAGCCCTCTTTTAACTAAAAATATTTATAAATATACTGCTACTCAAAAGCTTAGGCACTGTGGGACCTGAGGATATACTCATAGATGAAGATGGTCTTCTCAGGGGCCTTTCAATCTAACCTAATAACAAAAAAAAAAAAAAAAAAAAAAAAAAAAAAAAACCAAAAAGAAAAAAACAAAACAACAACAACAAAAACAACCAGGTAAGTCAGACACACTTGTCTAATCAGTGAAAATTATTTAAAGGAAACTACACTGGGGGCTGGATTGATGACTTAGAAATTTAGAACTTTTGCTGCTCTTCCAGAAGACCCAGGTTCAATTCCCAACACCCACATGGTAGCTCACAATTATCTGTAACTCCAGTTCCAGGACTTCTGATACCATCACACAGACATGCAGGTAAAACACAAATGGATACAAAATAAAAATGAATTTAAAAAGTTACACCTGTAAAAATGGACAGCCTACCCAAGTGGTCTGGCAAATGCCTTTAATCCCAGAATTTAGAAAGCAAAGGGAGGCAGATCTCTGTGAGTTCTAGGACAGTGAGGGCTGTTACACAGAGAAACCCTGTCTTGAAAAACCAAAAAACAAACAAACAAACAAGCCCAAACAAATAAAAATCCCCCCAAAAAACAACAAAAAACAAAAACAGGGTAGGCTGGAGATTATCTTGTAAAAGGAAATAAATCAGATTCAGAAAGACAAATGTCCCATGTTTTATCTCATGTATGGATCTATACTTTAAAATCAATCTCTCTCCATATGTAGATAAGATACATATATAGATGTGTGTGTGTGAGTGTGAGTGTGTGTGAATGTGAGTGTGTGAATGTGTGTATGTGTGAGAGCGTGAGTGTGAATGTGAGTGTGGGTGAGTGTGTGTGTATGAGTGTGTGGATGTGTGAGTGTGTGTGTGGATGTGTGAGTGTGTGGATTGTGAGTGTGTATGTGAATGTGAGTGAGTGTGAGTGTGTGTATGTGTGAGTGTGGGGATGTGTATGTGTATGTGTGAGTGTGTGGATCTGTGAGTATGTGTGTGTGAGTGTGGGGATGTGTGTGTGTGTATGTGAATGTGAGTGTGTGTGAGTGTGTGTATGTATGAGTGTGTGGATGTGTGAGTGTGTGTGTGAATGTGTGGATGTGTGAATGTGTGTGAGTATGTGGATGTGTGAGTGTGTGGATTGTGAGTGTGTGGGTGTGGGTGTCAGTGTGTGTGGATGTGTGAGTGTGTGTGTGTGTGTGTGTGTGTGTGTGTGTGTGTAAAAGGTACTGAGAGGAAGGGTTTGCTTTGAAAGGGAGGGGAAGGGGAAGAAGAAGACAAATGTTGCAGGCCCTCATTCACATACATACCATGAAAGCAAAGGAGATAATCTGGAGAGGGCAAGGGAAGGTAATGATGGTGGATTGAAGGAACAAAATGCAATGATATACATGTATTAAAAAGACATGAAGAAACTCATTACTTAGTACATTTACATAAAAATTAATCATACTTGCAATAATAGGGAGTGCACAAAAATGAAAATAAAGAGCTTTTCTATATGGGAACCTATTCTAATTGAAGAGACATATTGTTTACACTGATATGTATCCTTTTCTTGTTATAGCTTTCAAAAATAATACTGTGCTCAACTTTTAGAACATAGTTTCTGTCCATTGATGTTTACATCTATCTTAAATTCAACGAGCAAATAAATAGTTCAAGTCTTTATTAAAACAGGTCATACCTCAGTTGTGCAAGCAGTACACTTAAAATTCTGTCAGTTTGCACATTTCTTTGCTAAAGCTCCATTTTCTACCCTCTTTCCCTCTGTTTATGTAAAAAAACATTAGTTTCTGTCCTATTCAAAACTTTCTACATAGCTTCATTTTCTACTATTGAGATTATCTTTTCCCCATTACCTGATGTGCAATCTTAGCTCTTTTTCCGAATCACAATTTTTATTTTACATTATTTTTGGTTTTTTTTTATCAAGGATACATATTTTTAAAGCATGAAATTGCATTAAGTATTTTTGATGATGTCAGTTTGATCTGAAATAAGGTCCATTTTAACAAAGAAACTTTCAAATCATATGCCAGTAACACACTTGCAGGTTTTGTTTTTTGTTTTCCAGAAATGGTTTCTCTGTGTAGCCCTGGCTATTCTGAAACTCACTCGATAGATCAGGCAGGCCTTGAACTCAGATCTGCCTGCCTAGGCCTCTGAGGTGCTGGGATTAAAGGCGTGGCACAAATTTTATTTTTTAAGACATAGTCTCTCCTTCTTATCCTGGAAGTTCTGAAACTATGTAGACCAGATTGGCCTCACACTCACAGAGACCCTCCTGCCTCTGCCTCACTATGCCTGGCAGCTTTTTTTTCTTTCCTTTTTTAATTCCACCCACAGATTGTTAAACTGGCAGAACTATATCCTCCTATGACAACTCAATCATAAAGCTTAGCTTAGTGAAGAATCCTAAGTCTCAAGTCTCTCATCTACATGACTGGCCACACAATTTTATTTATTTTAGGAAAAAAAGCAATTTCATATCACTGGTTACACATAACCCTGTAACTTTCTTGTATTTAAGCTCAGTAAGAAACAAAACTAAGTATTTTTCTCATTCCATTAGTGACTGTAAGATTACAAAGTGTGATTTCAGAAAAGATGGAAATTGGAATAAGAATGAAAATACACAAATTGGAATTAGTAAATTAGAGCCTGATTCAAGAATTTCACAAATAAATTCTGGTTCTCACTTGCAGCAGACTCTGAGCGCTTTCTCAAAGTAAGCCCAATGTAAACTAGCTCAAATCAAGGGACCTCCTCAATCCAACTCCCAAACTCATCCCACCCACAAGAGTAGACCAAAGCCCACTTTAGTGATTAAGTGGTTGACATAGGCAAAGTTCTTACTCGACACACATTACTTTTTTTTTTTTTTCCTTTCCACTTTTTTCTCCTTTGCTTGGGTGTCTGCAGAGTAGCTCAGGACCACTCAGTGGCCTGCACTGTGGAAGCTGCTGACCTGTCCTCAGTAGCTGGCTGGGCATTCACACATTACTATTACAATGTCGATTTAAAAGACAAAAAGAAAAAAATTCCTGGAGGGAAAGTAGGGAAGGTCCTTAAGCGTGTTTTACAGATGGGGCAAGTGTTTTACAGATGGGGCAATTGCAATCAAACTAAATCTCTTGATTTTTGCCCTTAGCTTCGAAGACGGCTTTGTTCTACACCACGTGGGACGACGGGCTGGCCTCGAACTCAATACACCTGCCCCTACATTTCAGTCCTCAGACTAGAGACGTGCGCCACCAGGCCGGTTCTTCTGCAGACTTGTAATTCTCAGTTCCAGTCATGGCTTCGCTCTCCCGATCCCGCAGATATGGGGGCCTGGTCTCAAGGGAGAACAAAGGAGGCGGCGCCCCGTGACGCGCAGGCCCTCGGGCGGGCTCGGAACCGTTTACTCAGGCTGCCAAGGCTTCGGTCGCCCGACTATAAAGGGCGCACAGCGGGCTCCAGATCGCAA